TTGCAAACAAAACATTTGACTTGTCATAAAGGGAAAAAAAGAATTATTTCTACTGTAATGTATAACATTTTTATTCTTTGGTGATTAATAATAAATGAAAATATTTTTGACGCTCTTATCTCAAGAACATGAAATTCAAGTAAAATAATTAAATAAATAAACAAAACAATTGTTGGTAATTAAATTAAAAAATGTATTAATATCATGAAAACTGTAGGTTTTTCATGTAAAGATTTTTTTCTTATTGTAAATAATAGAATTTATAAATTATATTATTCATTACCATTACACGTTTGTAGGATTGAATTTTATCACATAAATATATGTCTGTAATAATCGATTGTAAAATAAAGTCTATAATTATTAATTAAACAAAGTCCTATTCCTCTTCAATTATCTTCGATTATGAGACTACACCCTTAATATTTTAAGTCTCCAAACTGTGTAAAATTAAATTAATATTAATTCTACTATCAAAGTGATTAAATACTTTTACTTTTACATTTTACTTTCTCGTATTTTCATCTAATCTTTCCTTTCCTTTCTTTTTTTTTTTTTTTTTGCTTTTGAAGAAAAACTTTGTTTGAAAACATTTCATCACCTCGTTATTTTTACACTCCATTCACTTTGTTTTCGTTAGGTTTCATTGGAGAGAAGGGAAAAAGGAAAGATCGAACGATAAACTTGTCCTGAGTGGCTTCATTGTAATAATAAAAGCTCAAGAAGAAAAAAAGTTGCGATCGTTTGTCTGATAAAAAATTACTTTGCAGCAAATCTCATGGAAAAATCAAACAATTGGTTTTTGAATAAAATTTATATTTATAAACCTACACATTTTTCTTTCTTTTCAATCGATTCGAATGAAAAAGAAAAGCAAAAATAAAGAAGTCAATTACAATTATTAAAATAAAAATTACATTTAAAGGAAATAATAAAATAGTAAATGAAAAAATAAAGTAAAAAAAAAAAAATAACGAAAATTGGCATAAAATGGAAATAAAACTTCCAATCAAAAAATATATAAATAAAAAAAAAATTTTCAATTAAAAACAAATACACACTTCAATCAAAAAAAAAAAAAAATGAATCAAAATATGTAGAATTTTTAATTTGAAAAGGAAAAATAATAAATATTAAATACTAGAATCGAAATAGAATGAATTCCGAATGTAAAAACTTTATAGGAAAAACATAATAAAAAAAGAAAAAAATTTAGAATACACGGGACAAAATTGATTTCCATTATTTCTACTATTAATTTACAACAATTTTTAAAAGAATAAAATACATTCATCTGTTTCAATTCACTTTAAAAAACTACCCTCCTATTTTTTTCTGAATTTTTTTCATTTACCTGACGAGAACAACTTTTTGAAATGAAAATCGGGGCAATGTGTTCGCATTAAAGAGAATTTCAAAACTTTTTTTTTCCCCTCCATTATCATTAGTAATTCTCTGTGCTTACGAGAAAATACATCAAAGAGAAAAAAAGAAGAAAGAAGAGAGAGAGAGAGAGAGATTAAAATAAATTTACAAAATTTACAATAAATTTTTCCAGAACTATATATAATTATAACTCTTTACTTGTGCGCCTATTCCACTTTTGTTAATTTATTCCCCGCGGATTATATGGGAATTATTAATGGCAATAATTAACGAATTTAGGTCAAAAAAAAAAAAAAAATTTTATTTCGAGATAGATTGTGAAAAAAAAGTGATGTACTTTTTAATATAACGACGAAAAGTGAAGACGGAGACTCAAATTAAAAAAATCAAAGAATTTAGCATGTTTTTTTTTTGGGGAAAAAATGAAAAATGTTTTAGCTAATAGAAAGGGGGTGGGGACTGGGGAATAATTAGAATACGCTTGTAATCGATTAGTAATAAAATTTCGGAAGTGAATTGAGCTCTGGCATCTAATAAAGCAAAATGCTTCGATAGATTCCGATCATTTGAAATGTGAAGCGAAACCTGGCGTAATAGACTCTATGAGATTAATCGTAATAGAGCATTCTCGTATTAATTATTCCATTCAATTATCCCAGGCTGCGTATCGAGATTGAAACATTTCGCACAAATTACTGATATTCAATTCTAATTTCTGAATTCTGAAACGTTTATTACTTCTATATACAATACCTTAAATAAAGAAGTCTTCTAACTGTCGAATATTGTACGATTCTATGTATATGTATTGGTAATATGTAAAATTTCCTACTTTACAAATTCGATTTTCAAAAATAAAATATAAAATTCTTTCAAACGATTCAATTATTTAAAAAAAAAATCGAAATTCAATTATTTTCAACATAGTAGTATTCTCATAAGAGTTCGCAAAATAATTCAATTATTAAAAAAAAATTAATACAACTCATCCAAAATTCAATTATTTTCGTAAATAATAAAATATCCACAGGAATTCAATTAATTTAGAATATCATTTTCAAAAAAAATTTCGAAGAAAACATTTATTTAACAAAATTTTTATACAATTCTTCACAATAATTCAATTACTTTCACTAATAATAATATTTTTCATTAAAAATTCCATTTTTAAAAAAATGCTTGATAAAATTCTAAGCAAGAATTCAATTACTTTGATAAATAATAAAACTTGAATTTCAATTATTTTTATTACTATTTTAAATTAATTAATCGAAAAATTCAATTATTTTCAGTAACAAAATTTTCCATAAAAATTCAATTATTTACAATAAAATTTTCATAATATTCATTATATTTCCAAAAAATTAATTATTTTAAAACAATATTTATAAAATTCTTATGAAGAATTCAATTATTTTCAAAAATAACAAAATTTTTCACAGAAATTCAATTCTTTTTTTAAACATTATTTAGTAAAATTAAATGCAATTGTTGCAAGAATTCAATTATTTTTGAAAATTTTAATAAAATTTTTATAACAACTATTCAATTATTTTCATAAATAATAAAATTCATGGCAGGATTTCAATTATTTTTAATACCTACAATTTTACAGGAATTGTTCAAAAAATATAATTATTCTTAAAAATTTAATTTCAATTCCTCGAAAGAACCAATTATTTAAAAAAAAAGTTTTTTCTTATTTCTTTTTTTCTTATTTACAAAAATATTAGAATTTTTCACAAGTATTCAATTATTTTCAAAAATTTTAATAAATTAATTGTTGCAAAGTAATCAATTATTTAATTTTAGTTATTTTTTTTTAAATAATTCAATTATTCATTTTGATTTTAATAACATTCTTCCCAAGAATTCAATTATCTCGATAAATAACAAAATTATTCCCGAAAATTCAATTATTTTGAGGCATTTTAATAAAATTTTTTGTAAAATTAAATTATTTCCATAAATAATAAAATTCTTTTCAGGAATTCAATTATTTTTGAAAATTTTAATAAAATTCTTATAGCAACTATTCAATTATCTTCATAAATAATAAAATTCATCGCAAGTTTTCAATTATTTTTAAAACAATTTTACAGAAATTTCTCAAAAAATTTAATTTTAATTCCTCGAAAAAATCAATTATATATATAAAAAATGCTTTTTAAAAATTCTTTGGAAGAATTTTATTATATTGGTACCAAAATATTAGAATTTTCCAAAGGAATTAAATTGTTTTCAAATATTTTAATAAAGTTGTTCTAATGAAGTCAATTATTTTAAATACAATTTTAATTACATTTTTTTGAAATAATTCAATTATTCTTTTAGATTTTAGTAAAATTCTTCCCAAGATTTTAATTATTTACATAATTAATTCTTAGAAAAAATTTAATTTTGTCGATAAATAACAAAATTATTTCCGAAAATTCAATTATTTATTTATTTTTAGTCATTTTTTTTTAAATTCTTTGTAAAATTAAATTATTTTCATCATGAATGAATATTCATCACAAGAATTTAATTAATTTTCAAATTAATAAATTTCTTCTTGGAAATTCAATTTTAAAAAAAAAAATTCTAATAAAATCGTTCGCAAAAATTCAATTATTGTCAAAAATTTTAATGGAATTCTTTGTAAAATATAATTATTTTAAAAAACTATTTGCAATTCAATGATTTTCGGAATCAACTATTTTCATAAAATTTCCAAACAGAATTCAATTATTATTAAAAAAATTTTTGTAAAAATCTTCGTAAGAATTCAATTCTTTTCGTGAATAATAAAAATTTTTAAAAATGACCAAGCAGATATTAGTTTGTGAATTATTTGTTTTGTTTTTGTTAAAAGAATGTTAATAAACTTCAACAACAGGAGAGAAAATCAATTAGTAAAAAAAGGTATTAAAGAAATTATCTTTAAATTTTATAATTATTTTTATTGGTGCTGGAGAATGTAACAAATTTATTGTTCGCTTTTGCGTTTTAACAATAAAATTGTTAAGTAATCGTGGGGAAGAATTTTTTTTTTATCAAATAGATTAAGTTTCAAGGCACGCTGGGATTTTGAGTTAATCGACATTAAACGAGAGGAAGCTTTTCGAACTTAAGAAGAATATCGTATTACCCACTCGTGAAAGAAAAACAAAGGAAATTATTAGGCTTCATTTTGTTTTCCTTAGAGAAAGCGCATTAACTTCTTTTCCTTCTTAAGTACTTTTAAAGGCGAATTATTAAAAATAAACTGTTATTTTTAAAAAACATTTTAAAAAAATTCCTTAAGGAGAAAACACAAAATTTGCTATAAAAATGCAGTTTTCAACAAAAAAGTAGAAAAAAAGTATCAATATAGACGTTAAAATATTTTTGTAATCTACACTTTTTTTTTTGTTGCAAATCTCCCTTTTTTGCGTAAGAGAAAATTGAAATATATATATTTTTCAATCCGACAATAGGAAATATTTTTGTAAAAAAATATTTCAGCAAGAATTGTTACAAAATTTCCGATATCGAGAATATTTTTTCTACTTTTCCCTTTTTTTTTTTTTTTTTTTTTTTTTTTTTTTTTGATAGAAAAATATAAAATTTTTTCTTTTATTTTGGTGACTTACCTTTTCAGTTTTGTCGATGCGTATTTGCGCTTTTGCATTTCCATCGGCGAGATAGATTTGCAGCCGATCGGAACTATTTTCCAAACTTGTTGCTAATAATAGTCCCCGTGGCCTGGTTGTTTTGAAGCGCAAAACAATTTCCTCGGCTTGTGTTTTTGAATCCTCTGGCATCAAAGCAGTGAGATGCTGCGAGCCATTCAAGTGAAGCGTCGATGCATCTAGAGAAGAAAAGAAAAAAAAAACATCAGCATTAGAAAAAAAAAACTGTTATTTCCTCTCCATTTTCTCTTTTATCTGGCGCCTTCAAGAGTTTTTATTTCCTCCCCCCCCCTCCCAAATCCAATCGATAACCACTTTTAAGCTAGATAGAAAAAATGTTACAATTTTAAAATTGTGGAGAGGAAAAAGGAAATTTTCAATAAAAATAATTACCGACTGTTGGTAAAATTACCGAGTGTTGGTAAAGTAGATTTTCTAATGTCGGTAATAAGAAGTCTGTCTTACAGGCGATTATTAAAAAAAAGTAATCATAGTATTATAATTATAATAAAAAAGAAAAATAATAATAATAGAGTTTTTTTAGTAGTCAATTATCTTGATTTAAAAAGATTTTCTTAAATAGTTATTTTTCAAGAAAAGTATTTTCGCAAAACAATAAAAACTGTTTTTATATTCTTTGTATACAATGTAAATCCCTGGGAAAAATTCACGACACTTTTTTTTTTGTTTTGATATCGGAACGTACATTTTGTATATAGGTAGCAGGAAAACGTATTTTTTTTGTTATCATTTTGTTTGAAATGGAAAAAAAATTTTAAAGAAAGAGAATTATATTCACCTTTGCCGCACGTAGCGCCAGTAAAAGGTGTTCCCGTGCAATCACAGTGAAATCTGTTCCATCCTTCGAGACAATGGCCGCCATGCATACATGGCTGTGACGAACAATGTGGAGATTGTATATGACAAGCTGGTCTCACAGCACCTGTACACAACGCACCAAAAAAAAAAAAAAAAAAAAAAAAAAAAAAAAAAAAAAAAAAACAAGAAAACTGTGAAAATCATTGTGCTTTAAAAGTTACGAGAGTTGCTAAAACTGTTTTTAACGTCACTTATAACATCATAAATTCACGTAAAAACCAGACGTTTCTGTAAAATAAATTAAATTCTCGTTAAATACACGACGTGACATACATCACATTTCACTTGTGGTTTTTTTGTTTTTAAACTTGTATTCTCGAAGAGTATACTTGACAATTACTATATTGTTACAAAATGAAACAAAAATTACAAATGTTTTTTTGAAGGAAGAAAAATTTTCCCTTTTTAATAATAATATAAAAACGTCAGGTTCTTTTGGTACATAGATTTTGTAATTTTTTTCCAACTTAAAAATAGGTTTAGAATAATTTTTATCGTTTGTCGGTAATGCAGAAACAAATTTTACCCTCTGTCGGTAATGTAGGAATCTGATTAAAATATCATTTCCAGACAAAAAAAATAGTAGAGGCACCTTCTTTAAACCCTAAGCAAATGATTACTACCGGAAAATTAAAAACCAATTTTAATAAATAAGTCAACATTTCTATTTTTCAAAATTGAAGAAACTAACAATTAGAAAGAAAAAATACAAAATGAATGCCAAAAAAGAATTTATATACTGGGGAAAATAAAAAAGAAGTCTATTTTACCAAGTAATTTTCCATTTTAATCAAGAACTCTCAAGAGGATTGTAAACTTGACTGAACATAAAATTAGGCAATTTAATTTCATCAAGAAAATAAAAACGAAAATTGGCAAAAGTATCTCTGTGTAAAATGAATTTATTTCAAGTAGAAAGAGAAAGGGAAGAGAAAGATTTGAGGAAAACATCGAGAATGCCAGAAAACTTTGAAGTAGAATGGAAAAAGATAAAATAGATTTCAAGTGTCATCATAAATTATCGTAGTTGTAGGATAACTTAATTAATTAGTTCTGCAAATTAAAAGAAGATCAATTGCTCAATTTCTTGTTTTGAAAATTATTTATAATTGCGTTATGTCAGCTATTTTTGAACAGTATATCGAAGTTTATTTTCGAAACGGGACAAAAGTCTCCATGACACTGGGAATTCGTAATTTTAAATTAAAGTAATGTCATAATTATAATTAAGTTAAATTAATTTCCAATTAATGTAAATTTAAATTTAAGTTGAATATTTATTAATTTACTGTATAATTAGGTTAAATTAAATTCAAATTCAATTTAAAGTCAAATTAAAATCAAATTTAATTTAAAGTCAAATTAAAATCAAATTATAATTAATATAATAAAGTAGAAAATAATATTATAAACAAAAATTGAGTTTTTGAAATTATATTTTTCTAAAATTGAATTTTAGGCTAAAGTTATTAACAATGATTAAAAATAAATTCTAATTGAATAATTCGTGGTAAAAATTAAAATTTTATTATAACAATTTTTGTTTACCTGAATCTTGTTGCTGTGCATAACCGGCAATATCCACAGGTTGACTATTGATGACAAGATCTCTCATGCATCCAACGTAGCCTTGACGAAGAGTTCCGGTCCATAAAACTGGCGGAACAGTTAGGGGTGCAAATGGAGCGCCCACTCCTCCTATGTACATTAATCCGTCAAGATCTAATTGCGTTGAATCACCTAAAACATTTCAAATTCGACAAATATTATTTTATTATTAACACAAAATACCGAAAGATTAGAAAAAAAAAGTTGCCAAATTATGTAATTTTTTCTGTACAATACCTAAATAAATATTTTGATCACGTTTCAGACACCAGAGAGGTTTATTATTTTAGCCATTAGAGCAAAATTCAAAGAGTCAACCAAATAGTTTAATTTATCATAATAAAAGTTCTGTAAATAATTGAATTCTTCAAGAGAATTTTAAAAAAACATTTTTTTAAATAATTGAATTTCTGTGAAAAATTTTATTATTTTTTAAAACAATTGAATTCTTGCAAACGATTTTATTAGAATTTTTTTTAAATAATTGAATTTTCAAGAAGAAAATTACTTTTAAAAATAATTGAATCCTTGTGATTTTTTAAATAATTGAATTTTTGCGAACGATTTTATTAGAATTTTTTTAAATAATTGAATTTTTAAGAAGCTTTTTATTATTTATATGAAAATAACTGATTTCCTTCGAACAATTTTATTAAAATATTTGAAAATAATTGAAATCTTCTGAAAAATTCTAATATTTCTGTAAATAATTGAATTCTTCAAAAGAAATTTAAAAAAACATTTTTTTTTAATAATTGAATTTCTGTGAAAGATTTTATTATTTTTGAAAACAATTGAATTCTTGCGAACGATTTTTTTAAATAATTGAATCCTTGTGATTTTTGAAAATAATTGAATTTTTGCGAACGATTTTATTAGAATTTTTTTAAATAATTGAATTTCCAAGAAGTATTTTATTATTTATGGAAATAACTAATTTCCTTCGAACAATTTTAATAAAATATTTGAAAATAATTGAAATTCTCTGAAAAATTCTAATATTTCTGTAAATAATTGAATTCTTCGAAAGAATTTTAAAAAAACATTTTTTTAAATAATTGAATTTCTGTGAAAAATTTTATTATTTTTGAAAACAATTGAATTCTTGCAAACGATTTTATTAGAAATTTTTTTAAATAATTGAATTTTCAAAAAGAAAATTACTTTTAAAAATAATTGAATCCTTGTGATTTTTTTAAATAATTGAATTTTTGCGAACGATTTTATTAGAATTTTTTTAAATAATTGAATTTTTAAGAAGCTTTTTATTATTTATATGAAAATAACTGATTTCCTTCGAACAATTTTATTAAAATATTTGAAAATAATTGAAATCTTCTGAAAAATTCTAATATTTCTGTAAATAATTGAATTCTTCAAAAGAATTTAAAAAAAACATTTTTTTAAATAATTGAATTTCTGTGAAAAATTTTATTATTTTTGAAAACAATTGAATTTTTGCGAACGATTTTATTAGAATTTTTTTAAATAATTGAATTTCCAAGAAGTATTTTATTATTTTTGGAAATAACTAATTTCCTTCGAACAATTTTATTAAATTATTTGAAAATAATTGAAGTCCTCTAAAAAATTCTAATATTTTTGTAAATAATTGAATTCTTCAAAAGAATTTAAAAAAAACTTTTTTTTTAATAATTGAATTTCTGTAAAGAATTTTATTATCTTTGAAAATAATTCTATTTTTAAGAAGAACATTACTTTTAAAAATAATTGAATCCTTGTGATTTTTGAAAATAATTGAATTCTTGCGAATGATTTTATTAGAATTTTTTTGAATAATTGAATTTCCAAGAAGAATTTTATTATTTATGGATATAACTAATTTCCTTCGAACAATGTTATTAAAATATTTGAAAATAATTGAAATCTTTTGAAAAATTTTAATATTTCTGTAAATAATTGAATTCTTTAAAAGAATTTTAAAAAAACATTTTTTTTAATAATTGATTTTCTCGAGGGATTGAAATTAAATTTTGCAGAATAATTTTACATTTTTTGAGCAATTCCTGTAAAATTGTATTAAGAATAATTAAAATCCTGCGATGGATTTTATTATTCATAAAAATAATTGAATAGTTGCTATAAGAATTTTATTAAAATTTTCCAAAATAATTGAATTTTTGAGAAGAATTTTATTACTTTAAAAAATAATTGAATTATTGCGAACAATTTTATTAAAATGTTTAAAGAGAATTGAATTTCTGTGAAAAATTTTATTATTTTTGAAAATAATTGTATTCTTTATAAGAATTTTATAAATATTGTTTGAAATAATTAATTTTTTTGAAATATAATAAATATTATAAAATTTTTTTTTTAAATAATTGAATTTTTATGGAAAATTTTGTTACTGAAAATAATTGAATTTTTCGATTAATTAATTTAAAATAGTATTAAAAATAATTGAAATTCTTTAATGAGTTTTATTATTTATGAAAGTAATTAAATTCTTGCTTAGAATTTTATCAAACATTTTTTTTAAAAATTGAATTTCCATGAAAAATGTTATTATTAGTGAAAGTAATTGAATTATTGTGAAGAATTGTCTAAAAATTTTGTTAAATAATTGATTTTTTCGAAATTTTTTTGAAAATGCTATTTCTAAATTAATTGAATTGCTGTGAAGATTTTATTATTTATGGAAATAATTGAATTTTGAATGAGTTTTATCAATTTTTTTTTTAAATACAAATTGAAATAATTCTTTTGCGAAATCTTATAAAAATACTAGATATTAAAAATAATTTAATTATTCTTTCTCTAAATATGGCATACTTTAATTAATTAACTTTTTATTGAAAAAGCCAGGCGCTCAAAACAATTTAAATATTGAATCGCCTTTATAATCTAATCAAAAGTTTAAAAAAAAGACTCCTCTCATGTCTAAAAATTAAAAAAAATGTAATTAAAATTTTTACTTTAAAAATAATGATATTGAAATAGTAAGATCCATAGTTCTACTACTACAAGCATATAAAATTTCATATACATTCCATATATTTAGAATTTTAAAAAGGATTCGTAAAATTATCATTTTATGTAACTATTGTTTTTAACATATTCTTTCCGAGAATATTTATTCTAGTCATTATTAAATATTATTCTTTTTTTAATTCCACTACTACTAAGTAAATACACAGAATTTTAAATAAATAAAATGTACAGTATTTCAATACAAAAAACGTATTTAATATTTAAAAATGAAAAGGGAATTAATTACAATAAAAAAGATTTAAAAAATTCTGTTTAATTGAATACATTTTTTTTATCCCGTAACTATATTAACAAAAAATGTTAGAAAAAAGTGTATTAATAAATGAATACCTCAATAGGAAACCAATCAAAAATGTTCAATTTAAAAATTTTGTAATTTTACCTTTGAAATGTTCGTGGAACGTATATATATGCGTATATAAATGTGAAATTAAATAGAGTGGGTTTCCCTTTTATATAGATGTAATCCTCTCATTTTTTTTATTTGATATTTAATTACTTTTTTTTCCCCAACATACATATATATATATAACAATTGAGAGTGGGAATATATTTACTAAAATCATTCATTGAGAAAATACAATGGGGGTAGATAATAAATTTATGGAAAGGTGGATCAAGCGGGAGAATTCAAAAGGGGCATTGTCATCGTCTGATAAATTGGGATTCGTGCAACGCCAAATGAAATATTGTTATTGACGACGACCATTCGCAACAATACACGATATTTGAAACGAGCAAGCATTCCTAAAAACAAATTTATTAGGGCACCATTTGTTCAATGACTTTTTTAGGGGTAATAATTGCAATCGAATAGTGTCTTCTCTCCGCTTCTCTTCACACTACTTTACCCCTTTCTCTTTTTGGAAATTTTTTTTTTGAGCATTTCCACTACTTTAAATTTGCTAAAAGAATCAAAAAATCTAGAAATAAAAAACTATTCTCAAAAACTATAATTAAATTCTTTAAAACGATTTAATTATTTTTAAAAAATATTCGAAATTCAATTATTTTTAATATCTAGTATTTTTATAAAATTTTTCTCAATTTTTATAAAATTCTAATGAAAAATTCAATTATTTTTCAAAATAATAAAATTTTTCGCTGAAATTCAATTCTTTTTAAATATTTTAATAAAATTTATCGCAATAATACAATTATTTTCATAAATAATAAAATTCTTCATCGCAGTAATTCAATTATTTTTAATACAATTTAACAGGAATTACTTGGAAAATGTAATTTTCTTAAAAATGTAATTTTAATTCCTCAAAAACATCAATTATTTAAAAAAATGTTTTTTAAATATTTTTTGGATGAATTCAATTATTTACGAAAACATTAGAATTTTTTACATGAATTCAATTATTTTCAAATATTCTAATAAAATTGTTCAAAAGGAATCAATTATTTTAAATACAATTTAAATTAAATTTTTTTGAAATATTTCAATTATTTTTTTTTGGATTTTAATAAAATTTTTCTCAAGAAATCAATTATTTACAGAAATAATTCTTCAAAAGAATAATTCAATTATGTCGATAAGTAACAAAATTTTCCCTGAAAATTTAATTATTTTGAGGCATTTTAATAAAATTCAATTATTTTCAAAAATAACAATATTCATCACAAGAATTCAATTATTTTTAAAAGTAATAAATTTCTTCTTGCATTATTTTCATAAATAACAATATTCATCACAAGAATTAAATTTTTTTTAAAAGTAATAAAATTCTTCTCAGGAATTCAATTATTTTTGAAAATTTTAATAAAATTCTTAGTAATTATTTTGTTCTATTTAATAAATAATAAAATTTATCGCTGGATTTCAATTCTTTTTAATACAATTTTACAGGAATTGCTTAAAAAATGTAATTATTCTTAAAAATTTAATTTCAATTCCTCGAAGAAATCAATTATTTACAAAAAATATTAGAATGTTTCACAGGAATTCAATTATATTTTCAAATATTTTAATAAAATTGTTCGAAAGAAATGAATTATTTTAATTAAATTTTTTGTAAATAATTCAATTATTCTTTTAGATTTTAAGAAAATACTTCTCAAGAATTCAATTATTTACATAAATAATTTTTCGAAAGAATTCAATTATTTCT